GGGCATTAGGTGAAGTCACAGCAGGTTTCTGGAACTGGTCACGCCTGCAGTGCTGTCAAAGGGTGAGAGGTTCCGTAACCGGAAGGGCATTTGGAACAGAAGGAACAGCATGTCCAAAGGTGGGAGGGTGAGAGGACATGGAGCCTTGAGGGAAACGGAGGAAGCTTGGTGGTGCGGAGCCCAGAGTCTGAGGCAGGGAGCGGGCAGAGGAGGAGAGCAAGCAGGGAGGCTGTGTATGCAGCGCATACTGAGAACTCAACCAGCATTTGTGAAGCCGACAGTAGCATCTGTCCTCCTGGTATCCTCAGCCTCTGAACTCTGCTCCCGACGTCAGGGCCCTGAGACGGCTTAGAAAGAAGAAACGGAGACCCAACCGCCTAACTTATCTATAGGAAGCAACACCTGCTAATGACCCTCCGCCTAATTTTGGTTTAGGAAAAGGTCTACACAGTGTTGCGATGGCCTGGTGACTACAGCTTATAATGATAAAGTGGCCGAATTTCAGTGCTCAGGGAGGTGAGATCCTGAGGATGCAGAGGGGCTGAGCCTCACCTCGGGGCACGTCATCCTTAAGCTCAGCGATTATTGTGACCAGAGCGTGCGGGCTGGCGGGCGGGGCACCGGCCTCTGGGTTGGGGGGTCCAGCTCCCACTGTGACCTGTGGCGGTCTGCTGGGCACGTTCTGGTCCCTGCTGGGACTTGAGCTGTCCCACGAGCAAGTGGGACTACAACCACGGCTCTGCCTAACTTCTAGGTGGTTTTGCAAAAGCAAATGAGCTAGACCGATGAGCACGAGTCAAGAGTGAGCTCCAGGGAAATGCCAGGCATGACTTTTGTTAATGTTGCTGTTTATCTGGAAAAGGCAAATGCACAGGATTTCGGCTGCAAATGTTAGAAATAGCCAGATTCATGACCAGGGACAAATATAGGGTGTGTATATGTGTGTGTCTGTGTGTGTGTTTTAACAAATTCGAGTAATATTAACTCGTTGGTGATGTCATGCAGAATTGGAATTTCTGGGGAAAATCTGAAGCTCTGGAATGCTAGTCTTGATGTTTCCTTGTGGTAGTGATGGTGTGAAACCGAGGAGTCCCTTCTCCCAATGTCTGTGCTTCACCTGGTTTGCTTCAGTTGCTCACCTGTCCTTGCGGGCATTTGAGTGTGAGGCCTCTGGGCTAATGAAGAAAGGACTAGAGAGCTTGCCAGGATGATTCCTTAGACGCAACAGTATTTGTAAGGCAGGAGGGGGAGTCAGTACTCCCATTTTACAGATGTTACAGCAGAGGCCGAGCCAGACTGGGTGACTTCGCTGCTCTGTGGCTGCCCTGGGACCAGAGTCCGTGCTGTCTGCCTCTAAGATTGTTGTTCTTTCTGTCCTAGCTCCCTCTCTTTGAAACAACAGCCTTAAGCATCCCAGCCAAACTCCTGACTCTTGAAAACGACAGACTGAGAGGAGAGTGGTAGTTCTAGGCAGAAAACAGCCCCCCTGCCCCACTCAAACCTTGGCAGAAGGGCCACGACCGGTGTAAGGAGGCAGACGAGGTAGAAGGTGGGGTCCGAGAGCTGGTCTTCCATCACCCAGTAGGGATTGGTGGGGCTGTTGCAGGTGACGCAGGTGGCGTTGTACACCAGGGACACCATGAAGTACATCAGGAAGCTGCCTATGAGAACCAGCCCGTGGATGATGGTCTGCGGGAGGAAAGGGGTGAACGCCGTTGAAGGGACTGCAGTCACGCTACTTGGCTAACTCTGTTATAAACTTCTTTTTGTGGAAATGCAACATACATAGAAACCATTTTAAAAAGTGTGCCCTTTGACGGACCATTATAAACACCCATGTTGCTACCACCCGTACTCCAGAAACCCCGAAATCTTCTGTCTCAGCCTTGACTTGGGTGATAATTTTCATGCTATTCTGTAGTTTTACCATCTAGCTACATTTCCCTTGATAGCCTGTTTTTAAAAGTCGGATAGTCATATTTGGGGTGACTTCTGTCTTTTCTCCCTCAATATTATATTTGTGTGATGAGCCGTGTTTTCCCCACACGTGGCTGTCGGTTCCTCATTTTCAGAGCGGTGCAGTGTGCCGTGGGCTGATCGCATTTTGTCCTGCTTGTCTTGTGCGTCTTGCCTTCCGATTCTTGTCTTCTTTTAAACTTACTGATGATTTCGTACAATTGCATCCTCACCTTTACTAGTTTGAAAGTTAAATGCTCCATTTCTGTTCTTTTAGTGATTACTCAGTAAATGATAACAAGCAGTCTTGACTTAACTGCAGAGTAAAGTTTCTATGTCTCCCTCCTCCTGAATCACGCAAGGACTTCTGAGTACTTTACAGCTCTGCCTCCTGAAGTCTCTCTTCCTGCTACTGTATCTCTTCCTGCTACTGTTTTATTTGGTCTTTTTTCAAATCTTCTAGGTTTCTTTGTATGTTTTACCAATCCTCGCAGATACTTTAAAGTTTATTCTTCTTTAAACATAGCAAACAGAGCTTTTCTAGAATTTATATCCAGTAATTCCAGTGCTCGAAATACTTGTGACTGATGCCTGTGATCTTCATTTATGAGTTCTTGTTTCATTTTGAGCTTCCTTATTTTTGAATGTGTGATGCTTCTTGTCCTTGGAAAGTTAGGGAGACTGTGAAGCTGAGGACAACTGTCTGGAGAGGGGGTGTGTGTGGGTGTGTATTCTGCAGTAACCTAAGGCAATGTCAAGCTTAGTTTTTTTTTTTTAATTGAAGTATAGTTGATTTACAACATTGTGTTAGTTTCTGGTGTACAGCATAGTGATTCAGTTACACATATATTCATGTATATGTATAAAATATGTATTTTTATAGGTTATTACAAATTATTGACTATAGTTCCCTGTGCTGTATAGTAGAACCTTGTTGTTTTATCTATTCTGTATATAAAGTAGTTTTTATCTGCTAATCCCAAACTCCTAATTTATTCACCCCCTCTTCCCCATTGGTAATCATAAGGGTTTGTTTTCTGTCTGTGAATCTGGTTCTGTTTCATAAATACGTTCATTTGTGGATGGATGGACCTAGATATTATCACGCTAAGTGAAGTAAATCAGACACAGACCAGTATCATATGATATCACTTATACATGGAATCTACAGCCATTTTAAACTGAATTCATACATCAAAGTTTGGCTCACCCAGGTGATACAAAGAATCTGGGCTGCACATCTGTGTGAGGACGGCCCACGGTCCATTTCCCAGGAAATGGTTCGGACTCTCTCTGCTCTGTTCAGCACAGGGGGACCCATCTCTACAGTCCCTGCTGGGGAGGGGGTGCAGGCAGGTCCGCTTTTGCGTGTGCCCTTACCCTGAAGGTACAGCCTCTGGGGTCCTAATTTAACACAGTCTCCTACTAGACTCCCACTTTAGAAGTCTGGGTTTTAAATTCTGAACCTTATGCTCCATCAAGTCTGCCAAAAAGTTCGTTTTGGGCGGGGTTGCAAGCACCCTCAGGAAAAGAGAGGCTTTGGCCAGGCTGCTTCTCCGCGATCCATCTTTCCCAGAGGTTCCGGTCTCTTCTATCCTGCCGTCTTTCTCATACCTTTAGTCTGTATATATCCATTAGCTTGTTTTCAGTGGGAGAGATGATTGCCTGACCTAGCCCCTCCTCCTGAAGAAGAAAGCAGTTAACATTTTCAGTTGCTTTGGTGAGGACTGTGAAAACCGACACAGCTATTAAAATTCATGTGAAGCTTTCTACCCAGCAAAGAGAGGCACCCTCCCTCTGCTCCAAGCACTTTCAAAAGGGAAATATTTTTCTATAATGATTCTAGTAGCTGACTCCTTTCCCAAGAGCATCAGAAATCACCTGTAACCGCTGGGATTCCTGGTCTAGAGATGCACTGGGTGGGTTAACAGCGCAGAAGGGTGAATGAAAGGAACAGGTTCCCTCTTTTGAAGCAGGTGGATGCAGTGCTCTGAGGAAGAGGGCTAGACGACCAGTCGGAGAGGGTACGGAATCTCTGGGGCTGGATGAGACTTGACAGGGCATTTTGAAAGGTTAAAAATACCTAATGATTAAGAGGATCGTAGGCAGCAGAGTTCCTCTTGGGAAATATCTTGGGCTAGTGTTTTAAAAATGTAATTATGTCATTGTGAAATATTTCAAGCACACAGACAACAATCCTCATATACTCAATACCCAGCTTCATCAAGTTGAAACTTGTACCACATGGAGTAGACTGTCACCCCAAAATACATCTCTGACATATGGATTATTTTTCGCTTGTTATTTTTAAGAAACAGCAGACACAGGGTAAGCTCTGAAAACTGAGGAGCAGTTATCTTTTTGTAAGAGACATTTACATTTATAAGGGTGTCTTCCTCTCTACCAGAAGGAAAAGGATGATTCTAAACATCTAGAAAATCTGTATTAACTCCCATAACTGGCCTCCCCTAACCCCCAAAACTTCTCTTGTCTTTAGCTAGAGATGGCATTTAAGGTGGTGACTTGGGCAATTTTCAGGGAATTACTCAGTTTCCTGTGTCTCTCCTGTGTGTATAGGAGGTATTTATAAACTTGTGTTTGTTTTTCTCCCATTAATCTGTCTTTTATTACAGGAGTGTCTCAGCCAAGAACCTAGAAGGGTAGAGGGAAAATTATTGTTTCTTCCTCAACACATATTTGCCTCAGATTTTATTAAAAGGTTAAGCCTTACGGATATAATTGAAGCACCCACGTCTGGCAAATGCCTTCTCTTTAATCCTGAAAATAAAATTGGTGTTCATCTTTCTTTCATGTATGTTATATTTACATGTTTACATACTGATGTTAATGGATGCTTTTTTTTATTGTATCATGTATAGGTATCCTTGTGCAGTTTTTTTTCATTAGATGTTATGCTTTGGAGCTTTATTTATGTTGATAAATGCAGTTCTAGTTTAACTGTTCTAGTATATGAATATGCCATAATTTATTTTCTTGTTGATGAACATTTAGGTTGCTATGAAAAAAAATTTTTTTTTTGCTACTAAGAACAATGATGGGTTAACAGGGAAAAGGGGGTGGGAGGGGATAAATTGGGGTGTTTGAGATTTGCAAAGGTTAACCACTATGCATGAAGATATAAAAACAAATTTCTTCTGTAGAGCACAGGGAACTGTATTCACCATCTTGTATAACCTTTAATGAAAACATATGAAAACAAATGTATGTATGTATGTATGTATATGCATGACTGGGACATTGTGCTGTGCACCAGAAACTCACAATACTTCAGTTAAAAAGGACAATGATGTAGGAAACACTCTTGTACGTGATTAGGTGTATCCATGTGCAAGAGTATTGTCCAGGGTGCATATTTAGAAGTGCAATTGTGTCATAGGATAAGATTACTTAAACTTCTCTAGCTATTTTCAAATTGTCCTCCAGAGGGGTGGTATCAGTTTACAGTTTACCAACAGAATATAAAACCTTCCTTGGTTGGACTTTATTATCTTTAACATACTGCTGAGTTGATTTGCCAGTATTTCATTTAGAATTGTTTACATCTGTGTTCATTGAGGAGATTGGTCTATGATTTTGTTTCCTTGAACTGTTCATGCCCATTTTGGTATCAGAATTATTCTAGCCATGAAAATTAAATTGGTTACATTTTTTGAATCCATAAAAAAATTGACTTGAGATAGGAATTATCTGTCCCCTGTAAATTCAGTCAAACTCACCTTTATAGCCTTTGGCTTGGTGTCTTTAGGGACAGGATTACCAGTTGAATTTCTTTCATGGTGATTGGTTTATTCAGGTTTCCTGAATGATTTTGACTATGTTTTGGTAAATTTTACATTTAAAGAAATTATTGACTTGGTTTAAATTTTCAGGAAAAATATTGATTACATGGACTTTTGTATACACGAGTTCCAAATTCGCGGATATGGAAGGCTGACTGTTCCACGCCATTTTATGTAGAGGACTTGAACATCTGTGGATTTTGCTATCCGTTGGGGTCCTGGAACCAGTACCCCGCAGGTACTAAGAGACAACTGTGTATCTATAATTGAAGTCTTTTTCATTCCTAGTGTTATTATTTTTGTGGTCTCCTCTTTCTGTGTCTTTTCCTGAATCAGTTTTGCTAGAGATCAGTTTTCATTAGGGTTTTGAAGAGCTCAGTTTTGGTCTTACTCATCTTTCTTATTTTCTTGTATCTCCTCTCATGTTTTTTTCCTCTGTCTTCTTTAGGTTTACATGGTAAGTTTAAGTTCCTTGAGTTGAATTCTTAGCTTGTTTTTCATCTTTTTGTTTTCAGTAGTAAAATCTTCAGCTGCATCCCACAAGTGTGCATATATAATACTTTTATAGCTGTTCAGCAGCAGCAAGTATAGTTTCCATCATGATTTACTCTTGACCTATGCCTGTTTCTGATACATGTATAAAACTAGACATAAATTTTTCAATTTCTCTTTATATTTGCTGGGTGAAAAAAATACAATCTGATAATTTTTCTTTTAGTGGATGAATTAAACACATTTACACTTAGTGGATGAATTAAACACATTTACATTTATATGAGGACCGATGTATTTGGATTTATTTTGAACATATTTTGAATTTTTTGCCACCACTTTCTTTATTCTTACTTTTTCATCTTCTCTACAGCCTGCAGGATGGATGGTTTCCTATATTCCTCTTATTTCCTTCCATTCCTTTATGGTTAAATGTGTATTTCTATTCTCTTCCTATTCGTGATGAAGGCTTTAGCATAAGTTAATTACCTAATGATCAGCCCTTTCTTACCATTATATTGTTTCTTATAGTTTTAGCTTTTATGATATTCTTGTATGTTTCCTCCTTTAGTGAACGTCTATGGGTGGTAGACCTCATAGAGTTTATCTGGAAATGTCATTTATCACTTAGGTCTTTGAAAATAACTACTTTACTGCTTTCTCATTTCCATTGTTTGCTTAACTGCTGTTCCTTTTCAAGTAATTTGTCCATAGTCTCCATCAGACTTTGAGATTGTCTCTGTGTCTTTTACCTGTGCAGTTTTTTTTGATTGCACATATATATATGTATTTACATGCAATATATTGTATAATATACTGCACATAGTTTTAAATTCACATATATGTACTGCTCATTGTTTCCAAGAGCATTAGCTTGTTAAACTTACATAGTTGTCAAAGGAATAAAGCCAACCACAAAATAAGAATGAACAGAATTCAGTAATCCAATCATAAAGGACAGTCAAATGTGCTTACACATATTCAAGGAATCAATCATCTAAGTTATAACTAATAAGTATTCATTTGTGTCCTTTTTTAATATTCTACACATAAGTGATATATGGTATTTTTCTTTCTCTTTCTGGCTTATTCTTTTTTATGGCAGAGTAGTATTCCATTGTATAAATATACCACAGCTTCTTTATCCAGTCATCTGTCGATGGACATTTAGGTTGCTTCCAGGTCTTGGCTGTTATAAATAGTGCTGCTATGAACATTGGGGTGCATGTGTCTTTTTGAATTAAGGTTCTCTCTGGATATATGCCCAGGAGTGGGATTGCTGGATCACATGGTAAGTCTATTTTTAGTTTTTTGAGGAACCTTACTGTCCTCTACAGGGGCTGCACCAATCTACATTCCCACAAACAGTATAGGAGGGTTCCCTCTGCTCCACACCCTTTCCAGCATTTATCGTTCATAGATTTTTTAATGATGGCCATTCTGGCTGTTGTGAGATGATATTTCACTGTAGTTTTGATCTGCGTTTCTCTGACAATTAGCAATGCTGAGCATTTTTTCATGTGCCTATTGGCCATTCGTATGTCTTTACTGGAGAATTGCCTGTTTAGGTCTTCTGCCCATTTTTGGATTGGGTTGTTTATTTTTTAATATGAAGGTGTATGAGCTGTTTGTTTGTTTGTATATTTTGGAAATTAGTCCCTTGTCGGTCGCATCATTTGCAAATATGTTTTTCCCATTCTGTAAGTTGTCTTTTCGTTTTGTTGATGGTATCCTAGCTGTGCAAAGGCTTTGAAGTTTAAACAGATCCCATTTCTTTATTTCTGCTTTTATTTCCATTACTCCAGAAGCTGGTTCAAAAAATACATTGCTGTGATTTACCTGTGCAGTTTTTACTGTGATACACCAGGCAGTTTATCCAGATTTATTTTGATTAAGTGTCATTCCCAATGATTATCTCTTCAGATATGGCTTCTCTACCATTCTTTCCTTGACTCTTGTCATGTGGCTGCTGGAGCCGTTTATTCTCGCCACCATTCCTCTTAGTTACATTTTTATGTTTGTGTGGCATTCTGTGTAAGTTCCTAGTATTACCTTCCAGTTCGGTAGTTTCCTCTTAGTCAGTGTTCAGTCCAGAGTGGATCCCACAAATTGCATTTTTAATTGCAGTGACAAACGTGCATTTTCAAGAGTTGTAAATGTTTCCTTAGCTTGGCTCAGTTTGGTCTACCTTCCTCACAGCTTCTGGATAAAACTAGAACTCCAGATAGCTTGTCATCTTTCCTCCTTGAGTTGGGGAATGCTGGTCCAAACCTTGGACCCAGCAGTAAGCGAGGCTCGTGTGTGTCTTACTCCAAAGGAGCCAGATTCCCCATTGCCAGGGTCTGCTTCCTGCCCTGGATTCCAGAGAGCCTTCAGTTTGAGCCAGTACCTCCTCTCCCCACTATGTGGCTGCCTCTTCTGGTGCTGGTGGTTTTGAAAGAAATGTAGCCTGTGGTTTCCTTTGCTGTGCAAAAGCTTATAAGTTTAACTAGGTCCCATTTATTTATTTTTGCTTTTATTTCTATTGCCTGGGTAGACTGCCCTGGGAGAACATTCTGAGATTTATGTTGGATAATGTTTGGCTATATTTTCTTCTAAGAGGTTTATAGTGTCTTGTCTTATGTTTAAGTCATTAAGCAACTTTGAGTTTATTTTTGTGTATGGTGTGAGGGAATATTCTAACTTCACTGATCTATATGTAGCTGTCCAGTTTTCCCAGCACCATTTGCTGAAGAGACAGTCTTTACTCCATTTGTCAAAGATTAATTGACCAAAAGTTTGTGGGTTCATTTCTGGGCTCTCTTTGCACAGCAAAGGCAACCATAAGCAAAACAGAAAGACAACCTACGGAATTGGAGAAAATATTTGAAAAGACGAGGCCGACAAGGGCTTGATTTCCAGAATATATAAACAGCTCATACAACTTGATAAGAGAAAAACAAACAACCCAGTCCAAAAATGGAGCAGAGGATCTAAACAAGAAATTCTCCAATGAAGACATAAAAATGGCCAATAGGCACTTGAAAAAAATGCTCAATATTGGTAATTATCAGAGAAATGCAAATCAAAGCTACACTGAAGCCTCACACCAATCAGAATGGCCATCATTAAAAAAAAAATCCACGAATGAGAAATGCTAGAGAGGCTGTGGAAAAAAGGGACCCCCTCCTACACTGCTGGTGGGAATGTAGTCATTATGGAAAACAGTATGGAGATTCCTCAAAAGACTAAACACAGACTTACCGTATGATCCAGCAATCCCACTCCTGGACATATATCCAGAGGGAACCTTAGTTCAAAGAGATACATGCACCCCAATGTTCATAGCAGCACTATTTACAATAGCCAAGACATGGAAACAATCTAAATGTCCATCAGATGACTGGATAAAGAAGCTGTGGTGTATTTATACAATGGAATACTACTCTGCCATAAAAAGAATAAATGCCATTTGCAGCAACATGGCTGGCCCTGGAGAATGTCATTCTAAGTGAAATAAGCCAGAGAGAGAGAGAAAACTACCATATGATATCACTTAGATGTGGAATCTAAAAAAAAAAAGACAAACTTATTCGCAAAACAGAAACAGACTCACTGACATAGAAAACAAACTTATGATTACTGGTGAGGAGGAGAGGGCGTTGGAAGAGAAATTGGGAGTTTGAGATTTGCAGATACTAATATGCATAACATACATAAGCAGCAAGTGTATACGGTACGGCACAGGGAACCATAGTCAATATCTTGTATACAGTGAAAAAAATATGCGAACGAATATGTCTGTTCCCATATGACTGAAGCACTGTGCTGTACACCAGGAATTGACACAACAGTAAGCTGACTATACATCAATAAAAATATATTGAAAGAAAAAAAGAAATTGAGCTTGTACTTAAGCTTGCCGTACCTTTTTGGTTTTATCTCTTTGTTCCATCTGTTATTGGCATGAATTGGAGCAGAGCGGGTTTCAAATAGGAACTCTGTGATCCGGAAGCTCCTTTGGGTGGCCCTTATCCACCAGTGCCCAGCATGTCAGGGCCGGTCTAGCTCTTGGAGGTAGGGGGTGGGGAGGAGATCCGATTGCAGAATGTTGGGAACACACTGAGCCTGCTCGGGGCAGTTTTCTAGATATTTAATAAATAGAAATGCTTTCAGGAAAGCCATTTCATCTTGGCCAAGGACACATCTTTCTGTAAAGTGGGCTCCCTGAAACCAGTCAGTCTTGTCTCCTCACACTATTAGCATGGAGGTTAAAAGGGTCAAACTTGCTTCAGTCCTGAACTACTTGGGGAAAGTTTCCTCACCTCTTTATACCTATTTCTGTTTCTATGTATAGCTCTATAAAATGGGAATTAAAAAAACCCCTAACACATGCATGTATTGCAAAATGCTTACCATAATAAGTTTAGTTAACACCTGTCACTTTGCAGTACAACTGACCCTTAACAGTACAGGTCCTTGTAGACACAGATTTTTTTTTTTCACTAAGTACCTACCACAGTGCTACCGCACCCACGGTTGTGGAACTGGGGATATGGAGGGCCAGCTGTAAAGTTCTACGTGGAGTTTCCACTGCATGGAGGGTTTGGGGCTCCTGCTTGTCCGAGGGTCAACGGCGTATGTGTGTCAAGTCGTCATGCAGTACAACTTATAACTGACATACAGCACTGCGTACCTCAATCTCAAAACCCCTCCAAATCCTATCTAACACGAAGGGCTCTGGGAGGTTAAATGAGATAATACATTAAAAGATCATGTAGATAGTTACCGGGTATATAATTTTAAACACTTTGTCTTTATAATTATCGTTGACTAGTAGAAGTTAACGAGAAAGCTGGTGTTGCCTTAGACACTAAAAGGTGCTATTTGGAGACGCTTGACATGCTTACCTGAAGACAGTCTTTACTCCTCTACCTGCAAATTAAATGGGGCACATAGCTCCCTAACACAGCCTTGGGTAGTCAGTCTCCTGTTCTCCTTGTCTCTCAAACGCCCCTGAATTTTTTTTTTTATCAAAAATACCTGTTCTGGTAACAAATTGTCTCATTGTTTTACATGTGTCAATTTTATCATCCTGGCCAGGCGGTAAGCACCTCTTTATCCACGGGGAACACAAGAAGGAGTTCAGTGTGTACTTACCGAGTGGATCAATGATACGGAGTAGAACAACTCAGAAATCTGAATGTGGCTGATGGCCAGGAACATGATTTTCAGGCCAAAGGGGCTCTGGGGTACTTACCCAGGTCTTCATTTCCATTGCCTGATGCAAGAGGATTGTGGCGAGGGAGATGGTGTTGACGGGTGTCCCGAAGGTAAAGACGTCAATGTCAGAGTCCTTGTAGGTCTTCAGAGGAGAAAGAGACACTGTCAGATGCGCCCGTGGGCCGAAGGCCTTGACTTTGACAAATGACTGTAAAGCATCAGTGAGGGCAGGTGTGACGGGAGGGGGAGGAGTCGGGAGGAGCTATCCAGCTGCCACACACATGGAGCTGAGCCACGGAACAGACAAGATGAGGGATGAGTTGACAGGACTTAAAGATGCATTTGCAAAGGAAGCCACAAGAAGTATTCCAGAGCACTGTGGAAAGAGGGGGCAAAGGATTTATCGAGTACGTACCGGGCACAATGCCAATTGCTAAAATTTGTCTCCACTTTGAAGGAGTGCAGTCTCCTGGGCAGGGCAGATGTGGTACAATTGAAAGGGGTAAATGCCAGAATGGAGGCAAGTACAAGGCACCCTGGGAGCAGAGCAGAGCGCTCAGCTGAGGCCCTAATAAGAGGAGATACTCTCTTGCAGAGAGAGGAAAGGCTGACCAGGCAAAGGGCAGAACCGAGGGTGAAAAGTCCAAATAGTCCTAGGTGGTCGGTCTGTTGAATACATAGGAAGGGCAAAGGATGAAGCAGGAGAGGCAGGCAGAGGCCTGGCCAGGGAGGGTACTGTAAACCAGGAAATGCACAGAAAGCACAAAATGCCGCCTCCTCAACACCCATCATGTTGCTAATTGCAAAAGAATGTCAGCCCAGAGGCCGGATAGACACCACTGTTCACCTGGTAGCGATTACCCCACATCTTAGTTCCCTGTCCAGGAGGAACACACACACCCATGCTGTATAAATTCTCACTCTTTAAACTGAGGAACGAAACTGAGATGGGACTGGTATCCCTTGCTATTCTCATTTCTATTTCTGATCAGGGAGTATCCCTTATTATAAGACTTGCTGCTTTGACCTTGGAAGCACAAATATAGATATAAATCAAGGGTTGCAAATTCAGAAACCTTCAGGGCTCAAGTAAGAAGCAGTGAGTGAGTGAAGAAGGCCACGTGGAACACAAAAAGGCATGGTGAGGACTATGGCAAAGTGGAAAACATGCACCCCATCAAAGCAGGGCAGTGAGTCGACTCGGGATTTTTGCTAGGAGGGAAAAATGACCCAGTGTAATGATAGCTTTTAGTTTTTCACAAGCTGGCAGAAATTAAGATGTTTTGGTAAACTATTCTGACTTTTCAAATATCCTGGCTTGGATGGAGTCTGTAGGCCACCTATATGGAGCCTCTGCTCTGAAGTGTCCAGAAAGATACAGTTAGTCTGGGATTTCATATAAACAGGACCAGTTCCACCCCGCGATCTGTATGGTTAGAATGGGGTCGTACAACTTACCAGGTAGGGGATAAAGAAACAGACGAGGCTCTGGTAGAACGCATCTACGATGGACAGCCAGAAAGTCCACGGGTTATAGCACTGCCAGGAGAGAACACATCGACAGTCCCCACCATCAGAGCAAGCCTCTCACCTCTGTAAGCCACTCTCTTGAGCACAGCTGGGGCAGGCAATACAGCACTCACAACGCTTCTGATCTTAGAGGCAACAGAATGGAACCATTAAGAGCAGGACCTGGGGGTGACAGACCTCCGTTCAAGCTCCAGCTCTGTGTGACCTTCGTGAAAGCCACTAAAACTGCTTTGAGAATTGGTTCTGCTTCCATAGAAAGTGGGTTTAAAACAACAGCAACTAGTTCCTTGGGTTTCAAGAAAGGTCTCAGTGCAACTGGATTTTGGTACCTAGTTAAGTGCTCAGCTACTGATGGTCATTCATGAGCTGCCTGTGCTCATATGAACAAGAAAGTTTAGAGGTTCCAAGGGTTCTGAATAGCATCCAAAAGGGAGAGCTCAAACAGAGCCCAGGATCACGGGTTCCCAAGACAGAGCTCAGGGCTTCAGAGGCAAGCGTTCTCATTTTGTGCTTTCCTTTTCCTGCCTGGGAGAAGTGAAGCCATTTACAGTGCATGTTTTTGCTGCATTAACTTCTTTTCATGTTAGACCCTCAAGGAAGACACCATGCAGCCAGCTTGCCTGTGGGAAGGGGGCAACTGGAAGGTCCCAGGATGGACACGTGCCGTCACTGATGGCCACGTCTCCCTCCCCTGAAGAGCTGGGGTTGCTGTGTGGCTCTCCCGCTGTCTCTGGGTTAGGACTGGGCTTGGCTCTTTGCTGACTGTCCACAGAATATCATCAGCTCTCCAGCATCACAGCTGGCTTTGCCCTCCTTCCCCCCAGGTGCAAAGGACCCCTCATGCCTATTGACGTCCCTGCTCCAGAGCTCTTCCTTTGACCTCCTCCCTCTCCTGCATCCAGCCTCCTGGCCCGAGTCTGTGCAGGTCGGAGTGCCTGTGTTCTGACTTCTCTAGATCATTTGGGGCATCACTGTGGCCTCTTTGTACCTTCTGAGAAACCATCCTGATGGCTTCTCAAGCCTTCTTTAGTCTTTCTGATACCAGCAAGTTCTAAACTGTGTTTAATATTGAGTTCTAAGTTTTGTCTCTTTCTAAAAAAATTTTTATTTTATTTTTGGAGGTACTGGAGATTGAACCCAGGATCTTGTGCATGCTAAGCATGTGCTCTACCACTGAGCTACACCAGCCCTCCCTAAGTTTTGTCTTCTCCGACATAAAGTGGGAGCCCTCCCTTATGAGTGCCTCACCCAGTGACGGACAAACTAACTTGGTCCCCGGGGTTTCCCAACTCAGCTGTGGGCCTTAGAGAGGCGGCTAAGGGGGAGGGGACCTTTCTGCGAACCCTCTCCCCCTTCCACTAGGGAAGGCCCATATTGATGTGTGATGTAATTAAGAAATAACTAAAAAGAAAAGTACCCACTGGTCTGGGCCATCACCTTCAACAGCAAAAGAGGAACAGGCCAGGAAGAGGGAGCATTCCTGGGTCACGTGAGAGGCCAGTGGCAGAGCGGTGACCAGGACACACAGCCCCCAGCCCAGAGCTCTTTCTCTGACACCTCCAGGGAGGAGTCGGAGGTCAGCGGCCCCCTGCCGGCCCGAGCCCCTTACCTCGGAGTTCTGGCCGCTCTTGTACAGCTCGGGCAGCGCCAGCAGTGTTTCCATAGAGAGGTCTTTATCCAGGATGCCGAAGACCAGAGGCGGCAAGGAGGTGAAGAAGAGATTAAAGAAGATCATCTGCCAGTAGTCGATCATGGTGGAGCCCGAGAAGCCGCAGAAAAACTGGTACCAGAAGAGCAGGTTGACGTAGCACTGCAGGCAGAGAGGGTGGCCTTGTGAGTGCCGGCCGGCGGGCAGCCGGTCCCCAGGCGCCGCTCAGGAGCCTCTGACAATCACTCCCCGCACTCGGAGCGTCCTCGTTCGCGGCAGGCAGGGGCGTGAGGGTGGGGGTAACCGCACTCCTTCCCGCAGCGACGGCTGCCGTGACCCCTGCTCCGACTGTGAGCCTTCTTCAGGCGCGGAGGGGAGCCCGCCAGTTTGCGAAGGGAAGTGTTCTGTGGCGGCCAAGCCCATAGGCTTTTGGAGGCAGAGAGGACTGGTTTCGAATCCTGCTGTCATGTGCCAGCTGTGTGACCTTGGGCAAACTGCTTAGCCTTTCTGAACATCCCTTGCCATCTTCCTGAGGGGAGCAGGAGCACCTACACCGTGGCACGTGATCCCGAAAGGCAGCAGTTGTGACTAGCAGTGTGGTAAGAGGAAAGGGTGTCCCCGATGCTGGGAGGACTGGTGGGAAGCCTGACGTCATGTGGGGGCTGACCTCACCACACTTTCCTCATGGCCACGCAACTCACAAGGGGGAAGGAGAAAATCTTACGCCAAAGTGTGGCTTTATGCTGCTCTCAAACATCTTCTCCACTTAAGGCCCTCCCCACCAGAGAAGGGCATTTTGAAGAGCCTATTTATTATTTAATTATTATTTACTATTATTAATATTAATATTATTATTTGTAATTAATATTAATATATAAAAATATATAAATAATACACATAATTATTATTTATAAATAATATTATTACTTAATTATTTACTACTACTACTATTACTATTAACACATTCATATTATTAAACCATAATTGCTACCTGAGCTTGTATTGGTGCCCGGTGTGTGATATATCATAGTGTATCAGCATACAGTACGTTAGCAGATGTACAATATGTATGTATTATAATTTGTCCCAACAGCCCAGCAAGGTTAATGTTATTGCTAATATAACAGCACTATATTTATGCAGTATTATATTCAATAATACAACTTGGTAATAATATTAATGTTCTTAGCCCCACTCTACAGATGAGGAATCTGAGGCTCTGAGCTGTGCCCGAGTTCAGAGCTAGAAAGCGGCACAACCAGCACCTGAGTTGTTAAAGCTCTTCCTCTTCGGCCGCCCCCACGCCTTCTCCCTCCTCCAGCCTCGTGATGCCGCGAGGACTTTCCTCCTGCGGGTTTCCGTGAAGTTCCTTCTCACAGGAGATTTGGAGAGAGAGGGCTCGTCTGTTACTGTGCTGCAGGTGGGTTTGAAACACACTCTGGGCAAATCAACGGCAACCGCTCGTGCCCTTGACACGGTGGGTTTCAGAAAAATTGAAGTGCTAAAGTCTTGGTGCTGGCGTCCAGCCCCTCCCTCCCTGCTGGGTGAGTAAGACAGTAACTCTTGTCTCCACGTACCCAGAGGCGGCTTGAGTGGCTCAGCCGGGGTGAGTCACCGCACCCCAGTCCCTCGGCCGGTAGGGGCTGGCACTGCGACATGAGGCTGTAGGCTCCGAGGACGCCAGGGCTAGAAGTGACGCCATCTACACGCGAGGCCGAGAATCGCAGCGGCAGTAACAGTAACAGCAACAGAGACTCCTAAAGCGCTTCCTGCGTCCGTCCTGACCCACCCAATCTACACAACAGCCTTGTGAGGCAGTCCCTGCTCTCCTCACCCTGCGGCTGAGAAAACTGAGCCTCAGCGAGCTCAGATCACAGGGCTGGGGTTACAGAGCTAGTAAGCAGCAACGCCCAGATGTTCTGGCTCGAGAGTCCACTCTCAAAATCACTACGGAAGTGGATGTGTTTGTTAGTGTGAATTCAGGTTCTGAGACGACAGCCCGGCCTGCCGCACCCCGGTCCAGAGCCCTCCATCCCACGGCGGGAGAGGCCCAGCCCAGGGCGCCATGTCAGGGCGGCGCTGAACGCAGAATAATGGGCTGGCGCTTTCTGCCGTGGGTGCCAGAGGCAGCGGGGCATCCTCCAGTGGTCACAGTGTAGGTCTGCTCCTTCTGGCTCTAACCCTCGATCTCTCCTCTCCGGACCCTGAGCATCAACTTGGTCTTTTAAGGTGCACGGTCTTGCCATCCAGCAGGTGCTGTGGCGCCTGACCTCGTTTTCACCCACGCTCTGGCCACAGCCGAAGCCAAGGAAGATGGGCAGTCCCCGGCGCTAGGGTCGGGGAGGCTGAGGCTCCGTGGCCAAGCGTGACGATATCATGTGACATTTCTTGAACAGTTTACGCTGAGACATGGCACTAGGGACGCTTGGAGAGCGGACAGCACGCTACGTGTATCCCGGTGACCTTTGCCTTCAAGCGATTTGGCAACATACAGGGAAAAGCATGGCTGGGTTTCTCGGAGGCACACCGAGTGCCATGGTGGTAAGGGCAGTGGACTGGAACGGAGTCCCATCTCGACTCTGGCTGCCTTATCTGCGTGACTTGGGCTCTGGCCCGTGGCTGTGTGTCTATAAAACTGATAATAAATGTCCCCACCCCCGAGGCTGTCAGCACCTGCTGCTGTTGCCATGGCCACCGTTACTGTCACCATCATCATGTAGTTTAGCACGGACAAATGAAGCATTTACTACGTACAGGGTGCAGTTCTGAACACCTCACACCTATTAACTCGTTGGTGCACACCATCACCCCGGGAGTTAGGTGGCATTTTCTCATTTTACAGATGAAGACACTCAGAGAGCTTAATAGCACTTAAGGCCACAATGCTATTAAGCAGCAGAGCGGGGCTGGGATTCGAACCCAGTCTGACTCTTAACACGTTTGCTCTTAACCTCCGCCCTACAGCTAGCTGTTACAGTTACACGGGCATGGAAAGTTCCCAGCACAGTGTGTCCAGCACCTGGGAGGTTCTCTCTTAATGGCGGTGGGTCTTGGTGTGGCTGACGTCATGCCAAACAGCCCCAGGCTGGACTGGGTATCAGGGCATCAGCACGGAAACAGGCGTGTGCGGAGAACCCTGGCGACCCGGGCAGCAGAGAGCTAGCATTTGCCGAGCTCCCCGCCCTACGCTGCGCACACCAGAGGCACTGGTGCTTTGTCTGAGCCCTAGTGGAAGCAATCAGGTGCTTGTGCTTGGACACCGTTGGCTCAGTTTCCTATAGAGATGTCCTCACTGAATTATATTTTAATGTTGATTTTTATTGAGTTACTTAAAAAAAAAAGTGACTCTGTGGGCGTTAGTTTTCATTTCCTACAAAAATGCCATTGAAGACAAGTTTCTGAAGGTGGTCGTGTGACTTTTTTCCTAAAGGTCTGCTTGACAAGTTGACCTCTGCTGAATTTAGAGCAAAGAGAAAGCGGTTCTCCTGGAGAACTGGTCTGCTTGTTCTAACCAGACATTCAATACTCAGCATCTCATCCCAGGTTCCTGGTGGGACCCACCTCCTCCTCCCTTTTCTGCGGTTCCTGCCCTACACTTTTTTATATTTTCTTTATAACTTCCCTATTGATTTTGTGTTTTTACCGTAAACTGCTTACACTTCATTTTGGAATTCGATACAACGTATGCTATAAAATTATAAATAAACTTCCTGAAATATTTCCTGTCAGGACTCGGCTGTCACACCTCTCCTCCTCAGCCAGGAAACTGGTCAACGTACAGTTAAATCTCCTTTTCTTTCAGGCCATAGCTTAACTGCTATTCCCTTCTGGATTCATTAGGTTGAGAAGTCTCCTGGCGATATGTCTGTAGCGCCCTGACCTTCCTCTGGGGAGAAGGATCGAAGAAAATGTTTTTTAAATGTTAATTTCTTTTCCCCTGTACTAGTGCTTGTCAGTCTCTAAGGTCCACATGAGCTGCATTCACATGATGCTCTTGTTGCTGGTCCAAGAACCACGTTTTGAGAAGCAAGATGCCTTGGGGCCCGGAGATGACAAACTATATCCTGCAAGCAGGTCAAATCAAGCCGTAAGTAAGGTTTCCTGGGACACAGCCACATGGATTCAGTTGCACGTTATATTGTCTAAAGCTGCTCTCACGTTGCCACGGTGGAGGTGCACTGGTGTGACAGCAGCTGCACGAACTACAACGCTGAAAACCTGTCTCATCCAGCCCCTTGCAGAAGTTTGCTGAACCCTGATTTAGACTGTAAGCCCCATGAGAGCGGGAACCACGTCTGTCTCAATCTCTGCTCTACACCCAGGGCCTGCTCGTGTCCCTGACCCAGAAGACGTTCCAGAATGATCTGAACAAAAGAAGTCAACCGTGGTGGTTCTGTTGTCCTAAGACTCATCCTGGAGTTTTACCATGAAAGCCTGCTTCCTTCCTCCGCAGGTCGTGGGAGGACCTTGCTCGTTGCCACTTGCTCTGCCTGGCTGGAGTCCCTGCACCCCGGAGGGGACGCCCTGAACCCCGTGATGGCATCGCTGAGATGGGGCGCCTGCTGTTGCTCCCACGCAGCTACAGTGTGGTGATTAATTCACTGTTCACGTTCCAGAGGAGGTGGGGTTTTAATCCCCTCCGAAATTGGTTTGGGATGTGGAAGTCATAGTTCTCCGCCCTCTAATTGCAAGGGGGGGGATGATGCGGCATCAGTATTGCAGTTCCGAGCGTCGGGCTGGAAATAAATATCATTTCGGCTCTGAAAGCATGGCTGGCTGGAAATGTTTCCTTTTCTATTTCAAAAATTTAATGTGGGGAAGAGGTTGTGCTTATTTGAGAGAACAATTCCTTTGAAGGTGAGAAAAAAAACATTGAATGGGGGCATTTTGAATTCTAAGTAAACAGTCTTGGAGGTCACATAGAGACTTGTTTGCATAGATTTGCTGAAATAATAGTACCATCCAGTTTATCGAATTTATATTATTTTTTTTGTCATGCATATACATTGAACTTGGCACAAAAATGCTTAGTCCTGAGTCAGAGTAACTGTCACAGTGCCTGAAAGCAGGCATGGGAGGATGGAAAAAAATAAAGCTATTTTGTAGCTGCACTTGGCCCATGTGTTTCTCTTCCATCGGCCTGGACTTAATCCCTCCTTTTTCCTTATGCAAACGGGAGTTGGAGTCTGTTTAGAGTCTCTTGGGGTTATTCAAAGGTCCTTGAACTAGATAATGAAAACCTCAGGCCCTGTTCCCTCCCCGAGCGTGGCAATGTTCTGACTGCTTCCTCTACCCATTGGTAATCAAGGGCTTTGCAGACAAGTGCCGCTGGTGGTTTTAATACCTCAGATGATCTGTGCCTGCTTTGGGCCCTTATCAACAAGACAGAAATAACCATATTTTTTCGGAGAAACAATAAATACCTTCATATGATTGTATTTGTATTCTGCTACATGCTACCCAGAGCTCAGACGCTGAAGCCTCTCGATAATACTGCTACGGACAGAGCATCCCAGCCTCCCTATCTTATTGATGAAGAAACCAAGGCCCAGAGAGGTTAAGTAACTCTTTCAAGCCCACAGAGCATGCTAGAGTTAGGCAAGACCCAGATGATCACCCTGCTCCGAACATTTTTGCAAACAGGTATTTGATTCAGAGGTCCTTGTTGAGAAGGCTGGCGAGCCTGCAGTGATGTGTTGGGTTTTGAGTGGAAGCCAATGACTCCAGCCCCAGACCTCCCCCGTCCTCTCCTGAGGGGCGGGGTGGGGCTCTTGTGCTGGTGGCTCTCTCTGGGGAGGATACCGAAGCTACAAGTCAGGCTAGCTGCTCTTCAGGGCTTTCTTCCTTGCAGCCAGAAAAGACATCTCATTTATAGAGCCCCCAGAAGAGCAACGACAGCAGCAACAATGATAAAAAAAGACCGGCTGACTTCATAAGGTGATCACTACCTGCCGATCACTTTCCGCACAAGCTGTCACCCCGTCCTCATAGCAAGTGTATGACAAGAGTGCTATCAGCATCCGCATTTTACAGGTGGGGAGGCTAAGGTGTAGGCTGATTTACCAAATGCGGGAGCCTAGGTTTGAACCAAATATGATCTGACTCCACAGTCCATGCTTGTAATTCTACTCATGCTGCCCCCTTACCTGCCAGGTGCTTTCCAGACAGTGTTGCCAGTCTTCACCATAAGCTCACAAAGTAGGATTAGCCTCATTTTGTCAAAGAAATTAAGACCCAGAGAACTGAATTATCTTGCCCAAGGTCACTGAGCTAGTCTGGGACAGCTTCAGGCTTCAAAGTCCAGATCGGCCGGACTCATCCCCTTACGCTGAAATGCTTTGTCTATCCTGGTGGGAAGAGCTGGGTCCCCCCGGAAAGGACTCCCAAGGTCCCGTGGGCAGAGGTGACCAGAGGGTGACTCACCACGTTCTTGTAGAAGTAGTACACCACCATCCTGGCCAGGCGCGAGTAACACCAGTGGCCGTGCACCAGCAGCAGCTTCTTGAGGTGGCTGAAGCGGGAGATGGCGAAGTCGCTGGACATGACGGCCTGCGAGGGCAGAGTGGAGACATCAGCTTCCCCCAATGGCTGCCAATGCCTGCCCCACCCCAGGCTCCCTCGAGGGCCGTGCTCTGTCCGAGGCCATAGCTGGAAGGGTCTGAAAGACCCTTTCTCATAGGTAGCACCCTTGAGTGGCTTTTGGGTCTCTGACACCCCACCCTCTTTTCTGGGAAATCCAAACTTCACTAGAATCCAAGAAAGGCAGGCCAGAGGGGACCGGTGGTCTGGTCTGGCCCTTCACCTCCTTCTGTCTATTCAACAAGCATTTACTGGCAACCAGATGTGATGCTCAACCAGACAGAAGGGGCTTCTGTGCAAGTGACCCTCAAACCCCTGAACACCCTTGGCCACCGCCTGAGGCAGGCCGTTGGCTCACTCTCCGGGGGAGCTGACGGTTGGCTAGCTCTTCCCTTCTGTGGAGCTGAAATGTATTTTCGGCCCCTAGGATTACTCAGAACAAGGCCCAGGTCATAGGACTTGGAAGAGTCTGAGGTTTGGACGTGCCTGGTTGCACATCCTGCTGTGAAGCTTGGTCCAGGTGTTCAACCTCTCTCAGCCTCAGTTTCTTCATCTGAAAACGATGGAATAACAATCCCTAACACACAGGGTGCGGCGACTGCTGAAATTAATGGGATAATAAACGTCACGTGTGAAGAGACTGCTGGCCTATGGCAGACACTCACCAACAAATTTAGGCCGTGCCTAATGTCTGCTCTGGTGGTGAGAATGTAATTGTTCGTGGTTCAGAATCACAAAGTGGGGTCTGTCTTAATGGGGAAACATTAGCACCTCAAGTTCATATGCTTGTCCCAAGCTAAGTTTTGAGTAAATTGGGTAAACTTTTAAGGTGAACCAGGCAATTTATAGGCCCATCCGGCCATCAGGGCTGAAATGGCAAATGAAACATGTTTTCCAATGTCTTTACGTCCCTCACTGCTCACGGACAGCACCACGACCTTGGCTGTGGGGGGAGGTCACAGGGAGGAAGCGGGAGTCAGGGGAAGGCGTGGTTTCCCCTGAGCGGTTGGGCACTCTGCGGCTTTAGAATACAGAACACAGCCAGCTGACTGTTAAAAGCCAAGCAGCCTTTGATCTCCCTCTCTGTTCTGCAGGATCAGGCAGTAGGGATGTGGTGATGGAGGTTATGAATAGGCATGGAAGTCCCCTGCCTTTCGGATGATAATTCTGCAAAGCTCTCTGGGAGAAGTTCCTCAACACTGTGGGGCAATTCCTTATCTCGCCAATAAGGATAAAGGAGAGTTAAGAGAGAAAGGAGAAGGACTGAAGGGGACAGTACCTGCATGCCTTCCTGTCCAGATATTCCAATTCCAATATCAGCAGCTTGAATCATGCTGACGTCATTCGCTCCATCACCTGAAAGGAGAGAGGGCGTGAGGTCATGGTCTGACTGCTGCATGCCAATGAGAATTTTTATACGAGTGGGTCCTAAATTGTCCCCATTTGTACATAATCGAATCCTTTAATGCTGCTCTGAAGAGTCCTACAGAAAAAGTCATCACTACAGTCATTTAGCCCAAGAGATGTCTTTTCTTCTTTGGACAAGAAGCCCTACTTTTTCTTTATCACTCAACGAATAATTATTGTGTCCTTTTCCTAGGTACAATGTTAGGGACTGGGAGTACAATGGTGAATGAGACACAGGCAGTGCTTTACAGTTTGCCAAAAAGGCCTTTGCAGATGTTACCATGGACTTTTTTTTTTTTTTTTTACCGAGGAGCAAATAGAGAATTTGAGCAGCACAGGGACTCGGCAAGGGTGATTCAGCCAGTGAAGGGACCCGGGAGAACTGGCTCTAAGATCTTTCTAATTCCAGGGCCAGCAGACCTCCCCTCGCTCAGGATAACTTATAATACTGACCCTATCAAGACAACTGGAATCTTGGATAGCTAAACCATCAGAGACTGTCAGTGGTGTCCAAGGACAGGGACTGTGTTCAGTTATGTCTCTGAATATAGGAAAATGGAACTGACTCAGTTTTTGGGTGGAGGTCCATTTAGTCACATTGAGTTCCCGTTCAATGGACTCAGTTTCAGGAAGCCGGAGGTTAGGGCGTGGACAGACACACACCTGCACGTGCCACCTTTTACATCAGCACTGTCAAACAGATTTTTTCTGTAATGGAAATGTCCTGTATCTTTACTGCCCACTGTAAAAACCATGAGCCACCTATGATTATTAACATGTGGCTGGTGAACGTCTGTTTAAACTTAAACATACAGCAGGTGGCAACCATTCTGGATGGCACAGCGCTACACGGCGAGGTCTTCCTCACAGCCTGGCTTCTCCCAGCGCCTTATCCTTCAGACTAGAGTTTAGCAAGCTTTTTCTAGAAAGGGCCAGATAATAGGTATTTTAGGCTTTGTGAGCCAAGAAGCAAAACTGAAGAACTGGTCTGCCGAGAGGCAAATCGTTTTTACACATTTTACAATTAAAAACACAGAAACTGTGCTCGGCCCCCCTCTAGAAACACGCGGTGGGCTGAACTCAGGCTGAGAACCATGGTTTGTGGACTGAACTGCCTTCGGTGTTCTCATGCCCCCGCCTGTTTTCCCAGTAGGTTCTCATAATCATACACCACTACATTCACATGAGCCATTCTAGAGAATGTGGAATTGGGAGAGAGAATTTTCTTCCTCTAATTATTTGGCAACAGAACGTTATCCATCTTAAAAATCTTGTCATTGTAAGTAGCCGTTCTTTTTCTAAGGATCCTTTTTTCCTTGACAGCATAGCAGTGCGTAATTTTCATCTTCCCCAGGGCAGAGCAAACCCACCCTTTAGCCTCTTCTGCCGGCAAGCCCGCGGAAGGAGAGGCGTGGAATCGCGCTATTTCTCGCCCTGCGGGCTCCCTTGCTGCTGCCGCCGCCGCGGCCGTGAAGCCAGTCCCCGACCTCCGGGCGTCAGTGCTGGGCTGGTGCCTTAAGTGTGTCTCAAGTTTTGATGAGGACAATTCAGGGGATAAAATTAGGATGCAGTTGCTAAAGCTGTGCCCCCTGTGTTCTGTCCACTCCCCACTTTTTTTTTTTCCCTTCTGGTCTTGAACTGCTTTTACCTCAAGATCAGGAGGAAAAAACAAAACAAAAAAACCCCACAATGTAAAGGAGGAGATCTGTTATTTGAAATGTCAGGAAAGAAGATCTCTTTCCATGTCTGTGGAGGAGGATGAGAACCATCGGTAAAAATGTCCCTGAACGAAAGCAGCGTTTACTATGTGCTTGGTGTGTGCTGGGCATGGGATGTAGCTGACTTTGTCCCTCTACTTAAGAATCTACCAGGCCTACTGAGCAGGACATCCTTGAAGGCATCACAGCTCCGCGGGATCCCCCAGGGAAAAGGAACAGGAGGTGGGCCTGGAAGGAGGTTTTACAGAGGAGACGGCTTGAGCAAAAGCCTGGAGTGAGAGAGAACGAGGCTCGTGGCGAATGGGAAGCAGTTTCATCTGGTTGGAACACCGAGAACTAAGTGTTGGGGAGAGGAAGGTGGCTGTGGTGAGAAAGAGGGAGAGCTCAGGGAGACCAGACCGTGAAGATTCTGGTGAACCAAGTTGGGTTGTTGCTAGAAGGTTCGAAGTAAGGACAGTTTTAATTTCTCTGCCTCAACCACGGTTAAAGTTGAGTCTCTTATCAAGGATTCTTCCTCAACCCACAAGCCAGCGTGTATGACGGGTGTGCACTGTGTTGAGTCTTGTATTTAGAAACAAACATACAGCGTTAAACACGGGACAAGGCTCAACTTTTAAAATCTCCCCACCAGCCATCAACACTGAGCAGAATATCGAATCCACAAACACCTGAGGTTCACAGTATTGTGTCATGTGTCAAGTACTGAAGGGACATGGTCTGCATCGCAGAACTGAGTTGGCCTGAGTGTCTGTCATTGAGCGACCTGGATGTTCTGAGCTTGAGGCTCCTCTTGGATTTGGCCTCCATCCAAGTCCTGATTTTTCCTCAGTGGACTGGCTAATCCTGAGAACTGGGGTTCTCATTCCCCACTCTTAGCCTCTGCTTCATCTGCTGGCTGCTATGTCTTGATTGCCACGTTGAACTCCCTCCCTCTACGACAGTGACCCTCAGCCTGAGCATCCCGTCTGTGACACCTGACCTCCCCGCTCTGGGCCAGGCTGCCCCCTCCCTCCGCAGGACGGGTACCTATGGAAAGGGTCATGGCTCTCAGCCTGTCTCGCACCAGCTTGACGAGCATGCTCTTCTGGAGCGGGGTGGAGCGGCAGCACAGGACGGACCGGCAGTACTGAGTCAGCTCCAGAAATTTCTTCTCCAGTTTCCCCTGGGAAATGGCGTTCAATGTCTTCCCATCGATGACCAACCCAACCTCTGGGGCTGCAGCTCCTGAGGTGGGGGGCGGTGCCTCGGAGGGGAGGCAGGACCCAGAGTGCTTGCGGTCCGGCTTCTGTGGTCCATGGAATTGCTTGACCTCTTCCAGTGCAAAGTTGAGGATGGATTCACAGGTTTCCTACAAAGAGCAGAATAATGAATTTGGTATTAGCGGGCAACACAGGTTAAAAATCTCACTTTCTCCTTTAGTAAAATAGTTAATAAAACACTACCATTTAAGAGATGACCTACGAATCGCTCTCTGAGTTTTACATTTCTCTGCAATATTTCAAACAGCATCAAAGCAATATGAATTTGGGACCAAATTAATGGCCAAAATAGGACAGACAGCTTGGGAACAGGAATGGAAACAGCTCAGCAAGATGGGGACTGATACAGGCATGGCGTAACAGAATAAATAATATCGATACATTAGTAAATTAGAACCATATGTCATGCCGGCAGAGTGCTTTTCATTCCTCACAAGTCATCTCCGTTCTCCTTTGTTACTCAGAACATTCCTGTGTGGTAGGGTAGGGTGGGTATTACTGGTTTGAGTTTAGAGATGAGGAAACAGAAGCAGTGAAATCCTTAGTAGCTGGCCCCAGATCATCCAACCAGTAGAGGCAGATCACTACGACTTGACTGTGGCTTCTTAATTGAAAAAAGAAAAACAAAAACACACATTGACTGTGTGTTTATCCATTGATACAAATGCATTGCTTGTACTGGTTAAAACTGACCATGTATGTGAGTCTTATTGATTTAAAGAAACTTCTTATTTTTTCTGATGTTTACCTTGAAATGCAGTGAAGAAATGATTTCCTCCATCAGTTCCCTCCACTACTTTTGATTACATCAAAGATAAAGACAGATTTTGGATCTAAATATATTCTTGATATCTCTTGCTTCTGTCAACGTCACTTTGAAATGAAGACAGACAACAGTTATGGCAGTCAACTGGGTTCTCAATTTTAATAGCATTATTTTGTTCACATGGCCTTTGTTCAGCAGTGTTCTCTTAGTGGTGAGGGAGGACGACTATTCATTTACTATAGTGCTAAAAAAATTCTTCTAAAAATAAATTCTAAAATGTTCAAAGTGAGTCAATTTAAATGAAATCATTAAATAAACAACAGTACAGGTAATGTGAGGATTTAGGCAAAAAACTGTGAAGTTTGTTGTGAAATCACAGGTTTGGAGACCAAGGATCTAGAAGCTTCTGAGAATGTTGGGAATAATTTCTTCTTGAGTAAGTAGAACCGCAGTTCATGATTCTGGAGTCCTCCTTTAGGGGATGCTTAACAGCATTGCAAGCAACCGGGTGTGCACAGAGCCTGGGGTGCAGGGCACACGAAGTAGCTCCAGGAGCAGGTGGTTATGCCTGAAGCACTTCTCCGGGAAAGAGGTCAAGACGGTCCCTACCAGAGGGTGGGATGGCCACACATTACATACAGGCAGACCTCGGAGATATGCAACATGTGTTTGGTTCCAGACCACCACAATAAAGTGACTGTTGCCAACAAAGTGAGCCACGAATTTTTTTGTTTCCTAAGGCATGTAAAAGTTATGTTTACACTGTAGTCTATTAAGTGTACAGTAACATTATGTCTGAAAAAAACGTCCATGTATCAGTTTTAATATTTTATTGCTAAGAAGTGCTGTCATCTGAGCCTTCAGCAAGTTGTTACCTTTTTTCTGGTGGAGGGTCTTGCCTCAGTGTTTGATGGCTGCTGCCTGATCAGGGTAGTGGTTGCTGAAGTTTGCCACATCGATGGACTCTTTCATGAGCGGTTTCTCTGTAGCATGCGATGCTGTTTAATAGCATTTTACCCACAGTAAAATACCTTTCACAATTGGAGTCAATCCTCTCAAACTTTGCCACTGCTGTATCAACTTAGTTCATGTAATATTCTAAATTCTTTGTTGTCATTTCAGCAATCTTCACAGCATCTTCACCAAGAGTAGATTCCATCTACAAGAACCACTTTCTTTGCTCAACCATAAGAAGCAACTCAGCTATTAAAGTTTTATCAGAGGATTGTAGCAATTCAGACACATCTTTAGGCTCCACTTCTGACTCCAGTCCTCTTGCTGTTGCCACCACATCTGCAGTGACTCCCTCCACTGAAGACTTGAATCCCTTAAAGTCATCCGTGAGGGTTTGAATCAGCTGTTTTCCAAATTCCTGTTAATCTTGATATTTTGACCTCTTCCCACGAATCATGTTTTTAATGGCACCTAGAATGGTGAGTCCTTCTATAGAAGGTTTTCACTTTACCCTGTCCAGATCCATCAGAGAAAGCACTATGTACGGCAGTTAGAGCCTTATGAAGTATATCTCTTAACGAATGACTTGAAAGTTGGAATTACTTCTTGATCCGTGGGCTGCAGAATGGATGCTGTGTGAGCAGCATGGAAACAATGTTGCTCTTGTGACATGTCTCCGCCAGAGCTCTTGGGTGACGAGGTGCACTGTCCATGAGCAGTAATATTTTGAAAAGAATCTTTTGTTCTGAGCAGTAGGTCTCAGAAAAATCTAGATATGCTGTCATCCAGGCTTTGTTACTCCATTTATAGAGCACAGGAGGAGCAGATCTAGTGTAATTCTTAAGAGTTCTGTAATTTTTGGAACAGTAAGTGCGCACTGGCTTCAACTTAGAGTCATCAGCTGCACTGGCCCCTAACAAGACAGTCAGGATTGGCATCTCCTCTCTAGCTATGAAAGCCCTAGACAGCATATTTCCCCAAGACCATAAAGCTGTTTCGTCTCCACTGAAACCTGCTATGTAGCACAGCCACCTTTGTGAAGTCCCTTAGCTCCATCGTCCGGATAATTTGCTGCAGCTTCTGTATCAGCATCTGCTGCTTCATCCTGCAATCCTGTGAGATGGAGACGGCTTCTTTACTTAAACCTCATGAACCCACCTCTGCTAGCTTTAAGCTTTTCTTCTGAAGCTTCCTCATCTCTCCGAGTCTTCACAGAATTGAAGAGAGTGAGGGCCTTGCTCTGGGTTAGGCTTTGGGGTCAGGGAGTCCTGTGGCTGGCTTGCTCTTCTACCCAGAACACTCACACTTTCTATCAGCAATAAGGCTGCTTCTCTGTCTCACCATCCGTGTGCTCCCTGGAGTAGCACTTGTAACTTCCTTCAAGAACTTCTCCTCTGCACTCACCACTTAGCTAACTGGCACAAGAGGCCCAGCTTTTGGTCTGTCTCAGCTTTTAACGTGCCTTCCTCGCTAAACTTAATCATTATTTCTAGCTTTTGGTTTAAAGTGAGAGACGTGTGGCTCTTCCTTTTGCTTGAACGCTTATGAGGCAATTGTAGGGGTTTAGCTGGCCTAATTTCTGCGTTGTTGGGTCTCAGGAAATAGGGAGGCCTCAGCAGAGTTGGGGAGACTGGTCGGTGGAGCAGTCAGAACACACATGAATGAGAACCCTAAGGTCTTGCTTATAGTTTTAAGATACATAACAAAGAAACAGCAGCCCTAAATCAATTTACAATGAATTAGGCAGATTAAAACCCTTGGAAGAAATATCCACCGAATATGCAATTACATTAAACTGGAGTATAGAGAAATCTGAGACTCAGAATGGATTTCCCCAGTTTCTATCTTAATGCATCTGTGCACCCACTACTTTTTCAAGGGAATGAGAAAGACTAATCTTTCAGGTTTAGTGGGTCCAGGGGTGTGGGCAGGGTCCAACACTCAGCAACCATCCTGGAGGGTTGCAGACAGCTTTAAAATTGTTGACAGTGACCGAACTCAACATGGAACGTGGCCCACTGTTCTTTGGGAACTTTGGCTAATTAATCAACCAACATCTTCAGCTTCCGACAGGGATGCACTGCACTTAACAAAACCCCCAGAAGCCCACTCCATCCACCTCAGGCTGACTCACGGCCATGCAGACGTCCTCCCCCTGGGATCAGCTGGAGTAAAGTGATCATTGCAAATGGAATTTCCATGGCAAGCGGGGCAGGCAGACGTCCACACTGTTACAGGGATCAAGCACCCAAGCAAGCTGCAAATTACTTTCTTTCCTAAGCGTGATATTAACGCCAAGATTTCCCCGAGATTACTTTCGTTTTGAAAATTCACTGGGGTTTAATCTAATCATAGCATAGCCTGCGCACCTGACAAGAAAGTAAATGATTTTTCCAATTCATCTAAAGGGCTTCTGGCACTTTTTATCTGTGTGCATCACCTTTTTTATTTAATGTGCATGTGGATTCTTCATGGAATGAAAACCAAATTGAAACCTTACAAACTTCAGTTCTGGGTCCAGATCAGCCTCAGGCAAAAGTGGAGGAGGGAAATTCCATCATCCTTCTTGCCTCTCTTTCTGGGCTGTTTTTTCCCTTTCTCATCTTCCTCCCTCTCTCCATCCTTCTCCTCAGGGTATGTTCTAGGTCTCCAGGTGCCCTCCACCCACGACCCCTGCAATCCAGTGCTTCCCTTGTTACCTGCCCACGTCTACCCCAATCCCTGCCCCCTTGTGGGAACACACAATGCCCGCTTCCCATATCCGTCAGCCAAGGAGACAGTGGAACTTGACTTCCTGCAGTCTGCTCTGTGAAGATCGATGCTTCCCTCCTAAATGGAAAAGTGTGTTACAACTTTAAATAGAACTTCTTCAGACTTCATGCAAACCTCGCCGGTGTCACTCACAACCTGTTCAAGTTGAAAACTGCAGTTTTTGACCTCAGCTTAGATTTTTCGCTGTCTCCCATCAAAACATACCGGCTTCATGTATCATTCCCTTTGGGTTTTACTCAGTGGCAACCAATCTGACATACAAATTGGAGCTGAAATTTTAACCTCAGAATAATTTCTATTTAATTGGGTTTTTTTTTTTAAATGGATGAGTTAGTCCAAAGTATAAGAAACAAACAGTTAAGGTTCTGTCTGGCATACTGCGAAGAGCGCTGGCCTGTCAGAAGAAGAGCATTCTAGACTTTGTCTACCTGCCAGAAACCACCAGGGTGGCCCTGGGCAGGGGATTAGCCCGGTGGTCTCAGTTGCTCATATGTCGACGGTGGAGATTGGTCCAAGGGATTTGAGAGAGGCCCACCTTTCTCACACGGACTGCTGGACATAATATGAACAGATTGGTCAAGCGTGTGTAGGGATGAGGTAGAGGATACTGGGCTGGACACCTTCCAGGGCCCTTTGAATTCCAAGATTCGGGGGTAGGAGTGCTTCCCCTGCAAACCCAAATCCCACCCACGAGCCCACCTCCTGCTGGCCTAGGGGCTGCCCTGCACGCGGACATCTGGGCCCCGCTTCGGCCTCACCTGACTTTCTGTGTTAATGGAGTACACGGTGTCCATCTGGTCTAACAGTCTGCAGGAATAGGCGATGTTGACCGCTGTCTCCTGCTTATCGCCAGTCAAGACCCAGAGCTGGATCCCAGCCTCCCGCAGAGCAGAGATTGTGTCAGGAACGCCTTCCTGCAGCCGGTCTTCGATCCCAGTGGCTCCTGGAGTGATGATTAAAGACACCAGAGCTCACATTTCGGTTCAGAAAGTAGCTGCATAATTTCCCCAGAGCCCTATCAAGCCAGGCAATGATTATTAACTGTCTCCCGTGTTCTAGGCTGTGCTGAGCACCCAGGACACAGCCGTGAAACAGACGGAGCTGGTCCCTATGCCCTCGCTGCTCAAAGGTCTGTTGAATCAGTATCTTTTTTTTGGTCCAACTATTTTATTATTATTATTAAACTTTTCATTTAATTTTTTTAATGTTTTGGGGGGAGGTAATTAGGTTGATTTATTTATTTTAATGAAGGTACTGGGGATTGAACCCAGGACCTCATGCATGCCAAGCACACACTCTACCGCTGAGCTATACCCTCCCCCGACTCAGGAGTTTTAACTGAGCTATGTGAGGAGAGGAGCCCAGGGTGCCGGGCAAACGTATACCAGGAGACTCGAACTTCACCTAGAAGGTCGGGGAAGGCTCTTGCTGAGGAAGTGCCATTTATGCTCAGACCTGGAAGATAAAGCCAAGTGGTGCAGAAGGGGGAGAATTCCAGGCAGAGGGATCCACATGTGTGAAGGCCCAGAGGGCAGAGTAGAAGACGACACAAAGGGAAGCAGAGTCAGGGGAGAGGGGAGGCCAGGCAGAGGGGGGAAAGTGCTGGGTCGTGTAGAGCCTGTCCGGGCATCAAGGGATTTCCCTCCTGTGTGTTTGATAGCAAAGAAGCTGAGAGTGATGGAATCAGCTTTGAGTTTTAAGAAGATCATTTTGGAGAACGGATTGGAGAGTGGAGGAAGCAGGATGAGACTGAGGGCTAGTGGTCCAGAGGAGAGCGGATGGGGGCTGGACCAGCGGAGCGGCAGCAGGAGTGGAGAGACGGAAATCTTTGCTTGGCAAGTGCTCGCCGCAGAACAGTGACTCGGGTTTTTAATATTATTCTTGAGGGAATTAAAGATGCAGATTCCATAATTTTTCAAAAGGTGTCAGGCTTTGAGCCAACCTGGATGATTATCTACCCAAATGTCAAATAGGTGCCAAGTGATTAAGCAAAAATAAATCTGCATTGACATTGAGATTCATTTCGAACTACAGACTGATGGCTGCCTGTGTCACTGTGGGCAGGAGGCCATGCCAATTCTTTCCACAGTCCTGAGCGACAATGGGTGGTCAAAGCAGTTATGCTGGATGGCATCTTGAAGAGATCATTTCATACTGTGGAACCTTGGTGTGAATGCACGGCAGCTTTTTGATGGCACGGCAGTTTCCTGGTGGTGAGATGACATCTTCCCAGCCCCAGTCCTCTCCTTCCCAAACCACCTTAAGGGAAGAAAAAGAAAACTCTCCATCCTGAAATGTGCCTGCTTTGTATGTCAGGCCCAGTGCGCAGGCAAACTAGCCCATAGAAAGCGGGGCCGAGCCTCACCTTTCCCTCCAAGTGTTAGCCTGGAAGCTGAGACTGAAGCTGATGTGCATTACAGGGTGGCAGAGTGAAGGAGAGAGGGGGAAATGCATTTATTTGTGTGAAAGAGAAAATGAAACAGGAAGGTGGTGAGAGCCTTTCTCAGCCAGGGAAGCTGACAGGTCCTGAAAAGTGTGTTCTTTTTTTTTTTTTTTTAAATTCTTACTTATTTTTTTGAAGTGTAGTCAGTTTATAATATTAGTTTCAGGCATACAGCAAAGTGATTCAGTTATATATAAACATATATATATTTTTTTCGATTTTTTTCCATTATAGCCCATTACAAGAAATTGAATATAGTCCCTGGGCCATCCAGCAGGTCCTTGTTGTTTATCTACTTTACATACAGTCATATGTATCAGTTTGTTCTCTTTCACAAAGAACCAGCTCAGGAGTGTGCCTCACCAGCAGAGACCAAAAGGCTCCCCAGAAGCAAAAGAAACCTCAGGGGCACCGAGGGGGTCAGGTGCTTAAATGGGGTGCCATTCTGGTGGCCTGGAGTGGAGGATGCAGCTGCCTGGCTGGCCCCAAAAAATGAGTTCTTGAAGCTATGGTAAATTTATACAATGGAATACCACTCAGCCATAAAAAAATAAAATAATGCCAATTGTAGCAACATGGATGGACCTGGAGATTGTCATTCTAAGTGAAGTAAGCCAGAAAGAGAAAAGAAAAATACCACATGGTATCACTCATATGTGAAATCTAAAAAAAAAGAAAAAAAGAAGACACTAATGAACTCAGCTACAAAACAGAAACAGACTCACAGACATAGTAAACAATCTTATGGTTACTGGGGGGAAACAGGTGGGAAAGGATAAACTGAAAGGTCGAGATTTGCAAATATTAACTACTATATATAAAATAGATAAAAAAATAAATTTCTTCTGTATAGCACAGGGAACTATATTCAATATCTTGTACTAGTCTATAATGAAAAAAGAATATGAAAAGGAATGTATGCGTGTATATGTACGACTGAAACATTGAGCCACACACCGGAAATGGACACATTGTGACTGACTATGCTTCAATAAAAATAAATAAATAAATGAGTTCTTGAGGCCAGCTTTCAAGGCGGCCTTGTGAGACAGCAGACAAAGGCTCCTATAGCCAAGACACAGGGAACAAAAGCACGTGAGGAGCAAAACTGTCTCCCCCTGCTTGTCACCAATCACCAAATCTTGATATGTCAAGAAGTGTTACCACCTCCTTACAGCCAGCCTGGGTCTTCCCGCCTTGCACCCCTCCTGGCTGAGAGCTTAGCAGAGTGTTATTTATCCAGAGGATGAGTGAAGGCTCGCCGGGGCACAGGGATGCATCCCTGGGCAGACAGCCGGGTCTCGACAGCGCCAGGGTTTGGCCCTCGTCCCCTGGTCAGCACTGCCTCCAAGATGAGAGAAGGCTTCCCCACATGGCCGGTGCCTGTGGCTGTTCAGGCACGTTGCCTTTCCTAGATCCTGCTCATGAGCTGTGACATTAATCCTGGTGAATAAGCCTCCCCCTACTCCCTTGGCAATGCTTTCCCTTCAGCGGAAATCCAACCCCGTCTCTTCACTGGTCCCCGGGCTCCCTGTCTCTCCCCCAGCGTATCCATCGAACGTCTATCCAGCAGCAGAGTAACTTTTGTAAAACACAGGTCTGAGCCTACCTTCACTCCTTTCTCCTCTCCAGACCTTCAGCGTACACTTCACATGGCCCTTCACAACCTGGGCCCTGCTGACCTCCTCACTTCCCGTATCCGCCCCACATCCCGTGGTCTAGTCATAGCGGACCTCTGAGTTTCCAGCCAGACTTTCTTGTCTCCATGCCTTCATTTGGGCCCTTCCCTCTGCCTGGAACATCCTCCCTCTTTGACCAGTGTCCTTTCTCCGCTCACTTCCCACCGTCCTGCACCCTCCTTGGCCCCGAGCTTGGTTGGCCCCTTCAACTTTGTGTTTCCACCCCACCAGGAACATCTTCCAGCCCAGCCCTCATCACACGCTGTTGAGGTTGCTTGCTTAATCATCCAGGTTTCCTTGCTCTGACTTGGCACACAGTAGGGGCCCAATCAACATTTGAATGACTGGAGGCCTCCCCCAGCAGGGGGTGCAGGAATGCTTCTCGGACATCCTCAGGATGCTGAGTGTGGGCTGGATACTGGCACAGCCCACTGGTGCCAAGTGCCAGGAAGGGCACCCCGAGGAGGCTTCTAATTGAGACACATTTGTAGCAACTGTCAAAATCAAGGCCAAGAACTCCCTTTCCAGTTTGCAACATTCCTTTTTTAAAAAAAAAAATAACGTTAATTTATTTTTAGCTACCGAGTAAGGTAAGCTGATTCTCCAGACGCTCTGCTGTCTCCATGAGAAGCTCGTCTCTGTTGCTGAGGGACACCTCGGCCTCATGCCGGAAGCTGGCCCATCGCTGGAAGTCTTCTTCACTCAGGACCTGCGGGACGGGAACAGACTCCTTTACAATTCTGGGTGAATCCCTCCTCCTTCCTGTGTGCTGGGCCTCCTACTGGCCAGCTAAACATCACTACATAATTAGATGGGGCTTTCCCCTCAATGATTTTTTTTATTTTTTGGAATGCTTGAATCAATAAAGGATTGATCCTCATGTTCCATTATCACCAAACTTCTGTTGAGCCTCTGTGATGCTCTGGGCAGGAGAGATACAGCAGTGATCAAGACAGACAAGAGCTGTATGGAGGTTCCTTAAAAAACTAAAAACAGACTATCATATGATCCAGCATCCACACTCCTGGGTACATACCCAGAGAAAAATATACTTCAAAAAGACACATGCACCCCAATTTTCACAGCAGCACTATTTACAACAGCCAAGACATGGAAGCAACCTAAATGTCCATCAACAGATGACTGAATAAAGATGTGGTGTGTACACACACACACACACACACACACACACACACACACACACACACACACACACACACACGTAG